ACCTCAAAACCACCTATCTTGACAGGTAGATCTTCCAACATACCAACAGGCAATCTAACTGATCTATCTGCAAGGATAAGAGAGATCCTTGCAGGCTTGAAGACTCTAAAGCCCAGCTTCTTTGCTATGGAGAATGGCATCAAGCTGACTGATGCTCCTAGATCACAAAGACATCCAGAGAATAGAAGAGGTCCAATGGCACAAGGGAGTGTGAAGCTCCCTGGATCAGTTAACTTCCTTGGAATGGACTTCTTCTGAATGATAGCACTGCATTCATGACTTAGTACTACCATGCCTTGAAGCTCTTTTGTCTTGTTCAGAATTGCATCCTTCAAGAACTTCCCCATCTTTGGCATCATTAAGAATGCATCAATGAGAGGCATTGTGAGTGGTGTCTCTTTGAGTGCCTTCTCAAATACAGCTCTTGCCTTGTTCACTAGTTGCTTCTTAAATCTCCCTGGAAATGGGAGCTTGGGTTGGTATGGATTTGGTGGCACATACTTCTTCTCTGGTTCTGGTTCCTTTGCTACCTTTTTACCCTTTTCTGTCCTTGGTTTCTCAGCAACTTGATCATCCTTTAAGGCTGCCTCCCCCTCAGGTTGATCATTGTCCTCAATGATCACTTTGTTGTTCTCAATACCAGGTAACTCCTTGCACTCCTCAGTGTAATGGCCTTGGCATATTCCTTGGGGTTGGGTTCTGGTTTTCCAGGTAGGTGACCTTGGTTCCTTGAGCTTGATGCCTGGTTTTGCTTCAGTTCCTTGATTTCCTGCTGCATAGTCTGTTGACCCTGAAGTAGTTGTTGCAGAATACCAACCATATCTGTACCCATCTGTGGCTGCTGTTGAACCATTGGTGGCTGAAACTGTTGTTGAACCGGCGCCTGCTGTTGGAACTGTGGTGGACCAAACCCTGGTGGTGCCTTTGGCTGCTGTGAAGTGTAACCAGTGCCCTGAAATGGTTGCTGTTGCTGACCAAAACTCTGATTCTGACCAAATTAATCCTTGGGTTGGAATGACCCTTGAAAGTTGTTCTTGGGAACAAAGTTATTTGGAGCTTGAGAATTGGGATAGACCTGGTCTTGTGGGTTAGCTACATTGATGTTCCTGTAAGAGAGGTTTGGATTGGCATTACCATACTGATATCTTTGGAACCTCTGATTCCCAATGTAGTTGAGCTCCTCTTGGGTAAGACCTTCTTCACTTATGTTCTCAAAGATTTGAGAAGGTTCCTCATACTCTCCAACAAAATGCATTGGCTTCTGAGTGGTGAATTTCAGCTTGTCTAATTCACTCCTCAACTCCTTAACTTCTCTGGTGAGCCTCTGTTCTGAGCTTGAACCTTCAGACCTATTTGATCTGTCATAGTCTTCACCATAAGTATCATTGCTCAATGCTAAGTTCTCCACTAGCTCTAAAGCAGCATGTATCTCTTTACCCAGAAAGTTCCCATTGGAAGCAGTATCCAGCTGGTTTCTAATCTTGGGAAGAGCTCCCCTATACAGTGCGCTGAGAAGAGAAGCCTCACTAAACCCATGGTGTGGGCATTGGTTTGTGTAGCTCCTGAATCTCTCATATGCTTCACCAAAACTTTCATTGCTGTGCTGAGTGAAGCTAGAGATTTGGTTCCTCAGTTTTGCAGTTCTTGAGGTGGAGAAGAACTTAGATAAGAAGGCTTGCTTGCATTGCTCCCAGGTTTGAATGGAGCCTCTTGGAAGATTCTTTTCCCATTGATGAGCTTTATCACCAAGACTGAATGGGAATAGTCTTAGCTTGAAGCTGTCTTCTGAAACTCCATTTATCTTGGTCAGATCACACACCTTATCAAACTGGTCCAAGTGTTCCAAGGGATCTTCCATTGCTAACCCATGGAACCTTGAGTTCTGGACCATATTCAGCAATGATGCTTTCACTTCAAAGTTGTTGTTTTGCACAGGTGGTGCCTGAATACCAGCTCCATACTGATGAGCATTGGCCCTGTCATTCTCTCCAACATAGACTTGGGGTTGCTCATATCTTCTTTGCTGTGGTTGGAAAGGGTGGGGTTGGTGGTGCACTTGTTGTCTTTGTTGAACATTGGCCTGATGCCTTTGTTGATGAGCTTGAGCTTGTCCTTGGTGGACATAAGCTTGTTGATGGTGCACCTGTTCCTGATGAACATTACCCTGATGAAGCCCTTGACCAACTCCATTACCCTGAGCCTGTTGCTCCTGAACCGGTTGTTCTATATCTACCACGTGATCTCTTTGGTCTTCCATGTCAGCCTGATCAATCTGTCTACCACGTCTGTCCCTTCTCCTCCTTGGTACCAAAAGGTTGATGTTGTCGTTGAGAGGGAAAGGTGGACCACAGCTTCTTGATCTAGACCTGGTGTTCATACACCTGAAATCACAAACAAAACTTGAAAGGAATCAGTAAAAACAAGAAAGTAAGCACTTGATCTCAAGAACAGATCAGAGCTTAATGCTAATCAACCACAATTTGGCAACGGCGCCAATTGATAGATAGGACTTTTTAGGGTCTCAGGGCTATCAATCCCCTTGTCAATGTAGCACAAAGAGGTTTATCAATCCAGATGTGGTGTTAGACACTAAACTATGTGATCAAGTTCTTAATTCAAGCAAACAAGAGTGATTTTGATTAACTAATGACAACTAACAACTTAAACAGGTTTAAAGTCAAATGACAATGACAAATGATGTGAATATGATATGATGGAGGCATGAGATTCTAGACATGATAGTTGATTAGGGTGCTTTGGTGCAAAACCAGAAATGCTAATGACAATGATGAGACATGATTCAAGTGATTAAGAACTCTAATCTAGGTTAATCCTCTCATGAAGGTATTAACCCCTACACTAATCCATTTTCAAACCAAATTCCCATTTGTGAAATATGAATCAATATGCATTAATAAACAGTTCTCAATGATCATTCAAGCAAATAACAATACATCACCATGCAGAAAAATGCTTAAACCTCTAATACAACTCTTTCAGGAATTTCATCAAACACTTTTGGTGCATGAAATTCCCAGAATCTAGATCTCAAGTGATTATCAAGGATCTAGCATAGAGAACAGTTGTTTAGAGAAATGAATCAATGAATCCAGCCCTAAGCATTCCTAATCTAACACTTTAGCACCCTAACCTACACATCTAGAACCTCATTAAGGTAACTACTCACTAATCATGATCAACACACTAGATCCTTTGCAAGATGTGTTGTTAATCATGATTAGAAGTTTGATTTGATGATAAGAAATGATGAACAAGATGGAAAGAAACTGCAAATCGATTTTAAACTCTCTAAAACAAAGTGTATTAAGTAGGTTTTCACCAAAGGGGAAAGAAGACTAAAAGTAGATTAAGTGTCTTCTACAAATTAGGTCTAAAAACCTTCTAAAGGAGGCTTGGGCGAACCTGGTCAACCCGAAACAAACCGGGTACTGACCCGGCCTTGATGGGTAAGTGTAGGTTTGCCACGGTCTGGTGTGCTCTTGGAGTGACCGTGGCAATCCTGACCGTGTCAAAGTCTTTACTTGTGTTCTTGGTTCCTTTTGATGCCACGGTCTGATCAAGCTTCATCTGGAACTCGTGGCAAGTTACCGTGTCAAACGACGAAGATGTGTAAAGGTTGCCACGGTCAAGCCCCCAGACCGTGGCATTCTGACCGTGCCAAAACCCGCATGCATGTGAAATCCTTCCCAGCCAAGTCTATGCTTGCCACGGCCATGTCTCAGGCCGTGGCATTGAAATCGTGTCAAAAGCCGAAGCTGTGTAGAAGTTGTCTCCAGCCACTTGTTCATTTGCCACGGTCAAGTCCCAGACCGTGGCATTCAGCTCGTGCCAATCGCCGAAGGTTGCAAGAGGTTGCCACGGTCAAGCCTCAGACCGTGGCATTTAGGCCATGTCAATCGCCGAAGGTTGCAAGAAGTTCCTCTCAGCCAAGTGTGTGTTTGCCACGGTCAAGTGTAGACCGTGGCATGAAGATCGTGTCATTTGCCGAGGGTGCACAAAAGTTGCCACGGCCAAGTGTGGACCGTGGCATTCCATCGCGGCATGCTTAACTTAGTCGCTCTGGGCTGTCTGGACCATCTCGCATTCCGGAGAGTGTAACTTCCTGGAGACTTGTCCGAATTGAGTGATTCCGGTTTCAGAAGACAGAGGACTCATTTGTCTCCAACTTTGATGAAGGAAGTTTCAGTGCTTGGGAAGTGTAAGGTTTCCTGGAGGGCACATCTTTGAAGTGCATTTACACGACCAGAGAAAGGCGTCTAGACATGTGTTCATTCCGGAGACCGTATCTTTCTGCTCAAAGCTCCGAATTGACTGATCTTGGATTTTATGGAAAGAAGACTCAAATGTCTCTGATTCTCATGAAGGCCCCGGAAACTGAATCGGCCTGGAAGTGCACCGTCCTTCGCATCCTTCAGAACTGATCTGCTCGGTCCGGAATACCTGCGAGACAGGGGTTCCTTCCGACGAGCTTATCTCTCTGCTCACGCGTCCGAATTTCACGATTCTACTTGCTATGAGACCGTGCTCCAATGCTCTCCAACTTCTATGAAGCACCCGCCGTCTGAATCGGACCGGAAGGCTTCCCGGAAAGGCGATTTCTGAGGCACGTTCACACCCGGAGATTTTGGCCGATACACTTCATTCGCGGTACATGAAAATGGCCGGTAAAGCTTCCCGCGGTACATGAAAATGGCCGGTAAAACCTTCCTGGCCAGCGAGAATGGCCGATAATCTCCTAAGACCCAATTTTTCCACTTTTTCAAGCTTTGCTCACCATTCCACCTCCTGGATTCATCTTTTCAGCTCCATATTCACCTGATAGACACTCAAAACATGCAAAGACTCATTGGGACCTAATGCATCTCCTAAGTTCTAAAACAAACCCTAAGGACCTAAAATGCATGAAATAAAACATGATTTGGAATGATTTATGCAACCTAAATGATGCAAATTATGAACATATCACCATACTCACCATGTTACTTTGTTAGAGCTATTTGGAGAGGGTCCTCAAGATTTAACTCCTCCAAAATCTCATCAGCTAGCTCATCTATGGTCTCTATGTCGAAGCATTGTCCTTCTATGGTGGGCTTTTTCATCTTGTCCTTGATATCAAACTTCAGCTTTTCTTTACCAAGTTGTAGCTCAATGATGCCACCTCTTACATCAATAATTGCTCCTGCTGTGGCCAAGAATGGACTGCCCAAAATCAGTGGATCAACCGGTTCTTCATCCATCTCTAGAACAACAAAATCTGTAGGCACTTCAAAACCGCCTATCTTGACTGGCAAGTCCTCTAACATCCCAACAGGTAGCCTTACTGATCTATCAGCTAGGATACGAGAGATTTTAGCATGTTTGAATACTCTATACCTAAGTTTCTTTGCTATAGAAAATGACATTAAGCTGACAGATGCTCCCAAGTCACAAAGACATCCAGAAAACATCAATGGTCCCAAAGCACAAGGGAGAATGAAGCTCCCTGGATCAGACAGCTTCCTTGGGACTGACTTTCTCTGAATGATGGCACTACACTCATGGCTAAGCACCAACATTCCCTGTAGCTCTTTGGTTTTGTTCAAGATAGCATCTTTTAGAAACTTTCCAAGCTTAGGCATCATCAAAAATGCTTCAACGAGAGGCATTGTAAGTGGTGTCTCATTAAGAGTCTTCTCAAAGAGTGCTCTTGCTTTATCTACAAGCTGCTTCTTGGAGCTTAGGTGGTGGAACATAAGGCTTTTCTGGTTCTGATGGCTTTTCCACCTCTTTGTCCTTCCCTTTCTTTGATATTTCAGCTTCTTGATTATCCCTTGGGGCTGCCTCCCCACCAATTTGATCATTGTCCTCAATGATCACATTGTGGTACTCTAAACTTGGTAGCTCTTTGCCACTTCTCAATGTAATGGCTTTAGCATACTCCTTTGGGTTTGGTTCAGGCTTACCAGGTAAGCCACCTTGGCTTCTTGAAGTGGATGCCTGATTCTGTTTCAGCATGGAAGCATACTGACTTTCAGCTCTTTGTTGACCCTGTAGCAACTGCTGTAGTATACCACACATATCTGGTCCCATCTGTTGACTCTGAACCGGCGGCTGATGACTGAACTGCTGCTGACCCATTGGCTGCTGACTGAATCCTGGGGGCGCCTTGAGCTGTTGCTGTTGAGAACTGAAGTTTGTACCATGAATCTGATGCTGTGGCTGACCATATTGCTGTTGAGGCTGACTGAACTGTGGCTTAGGTTGGAAAGAACTCTGAAACTGAGGCTTAGGAGCATAGCTTTGTTGGTTTTGCTGAGGTGGGTACACCTGATCCTGAGGATTTGCTACATTGGGGTTGCGGTATGAGAGGTTTTGGTTGGCACCATAGTTGTTGAACCTCTGAAACCTCTGTTGATTCCCAATATAGTTGATCTCTTCCTCTGTGAGGCCATCTTCATTAATGTTCTCAAAGCTTGGGGAATCATTAAACTCAGCAACATAGTGAATTGGTTTTTGAGAAACCAATTTCAGCTTTTCTAATTCACTCCTAAGCTCTCTAACCTCTCTAGTAAGCCTTGGATCTGAGCCTTGGATCCTTTCATAATCCTCGCCATATGTATCATTAGACATGGCCAAATTCTTCACAAGTTCCATAGCAGATGTAATCTCTGTGTCTATTTTGTTTATTATCTGTGGTAAAGCTCCTCTATACAGTATAGAAAGTAGAGAAGCATCAGAAAAACCATGGTGTGGACACTGATTGGTGTAGCTTCTAAACCTTTCCCAAGCTTCACCAAAGCTTTCATTGTTATGTTGCTTGAAGCTTGAGATCTGGTTTCTTAGCTTAGCTGTCCTAGAAGTAGAGAAGAACATGGATAAAAAGGCAAGCTTGCACTGCTCCCAAGTCTGTATGGAACCTCTAGGCAGGTTCTTTTCCCATTGGAGTGCCTTGTTTCCTAAGCTGAAGGGGAAAAGCCTAAGCTTGAAGCTATTCTCTAAGACACCATTGATTTTGGTGAGGTCACAAACCCTGTCAAACTGATCCAATTGCTCCAAAGGATCCTCCATTGGCAAACCATGAAATTTGGAGTTTTGAACCATGTTGAGCAAGGAAGCCTTCACCTCAAAATTGTTATTCTGAACTGGTGGTGCTTGGATTCCTGCTCTATGCTGGTGTGCATTGGCTCTATCATTTTCCTCAACAAACACTGGTGGAGGATCTTGTCTCCTTTGAGCTTGATGTTGAGGAATGAATTGAGCCTGTTGCTCATTCCTATGAGCCTGCTGCTGATTCTGCTGAGCCTGCCTCTCATTCCTTTGTGCCATGTTTATATTGACATAGGCTTGCTGCTAATTTCTCTCAGCTTGGGCCTGATTCCTTTGAGCTCCATTACCATGCTGAGCCTGTTGCTCTTCCTGAACCTGGTGTTCAATGTCAATGACATGGTGCTCTCTCTGTTGTTCCATATCAGCTGCTCTATCAGTTTCCCATGGACGTCTATCTCTTCTTCTTCTTGGCACTAAGAGATTGATGTTTTCGTTCAAAGGAAATGGTGGACCGCAACTTCTAGACCTTGATCTGGTGTTCATACACCTGAAAACAAAGACAGAACTTGCAAAGTAATCAGTAAACAAAAAGAAAGCACTTGATCTCAAGAAAGTATCTAAGACTAATGCTAGCACACTTTGACAACGGCGCCAATTGATAACTAGAGGTTTTTAAGCTCTAAATGAGGGTTATCAATCCTTTAGCTGTTGCAACATAAAGGGTTTATCAATCCAATGTGTGGTAGACACTAGAATGTAAGACAGTTTCTTAATTCAAGCAAATGGTGGAGTTTGTTGGTGACTAATGCCTAAGACAAGATTAAAACTAAGACAAGAATAAGTGATTAAGTAAACTAAACAAACAAGAAATTGAACAAGATGAGATAATAATGAATGATGGAAGCATGAGATTCTAGACATGATTGTTGGCTAGGGTGCTTTGGTGCTAAACTAGAAATGCTAATGACAATGATGAAACAAGATTCAAATGATTTAGAACTCTAATGAAGCCTTAATCTTTCCCAAGCATCAAGACACAAATCAAGTTATTTCACATACCCAATCATCATTGGAGATCAAACAACACGACAGCATTAAGAATAAATTCTAAAAGATCATTTATTCTAATAACAAGACATCATCATGCAACTAATGCATAAACTCTAATACAGCTCTTTCGGGAATTTCATCAAACACTTTTGGTGCATAAAATTCCCAGATTCTAGATCACAAGTGATGTGCAAGGATCTAGCCTAGAGAACAGCTTTTTAGAGAGATGAATCAATGAATCTAGCCCTAAGCACTCCTAATCTAACACTTTAGCACCCTAACCTACACATCTAGAACCTCATTAAGGTGACTACTCACTAATCATACTAATCTCTCTAATCTCTCTTAAACCTTTGCAAGTAGAGTAGATTGGCATGATTAATGGATGGAAATGAAGATGGAGAAGATAGATTAAGAAAGAAGACAGCTTTAATCACACAAAAAGTCTTTGATTTCTCTTGATTCAAACTCACAAAAAGGGATATTTCTCTTCAAAGGAGTCTTTCACAAAAGATGCAAAGAAATTAGGAGAATAAAGCTTGTCCTTAGGGTAAAACCCTAAAAAAGTATTTATAGTCCTCCCTAAGTCTCTGGTCAACCCGGGACAAACAGGTGTTGACCAGGAGAGAAAACACTTAAAAACGCCAACACATCTACACCGAGGTTCACTTGGCCAATGTTGTGCTCGATGTGGATGTGTTGTAAATCCTGTCTTGGACGTGGATGCTAGCACTGGGGCTCGTAAAGTCGATGTCATGGCTGGTGTTGAAAGTATGGGTTCGACGATGGAGCTGGCATCGGCTTGCTTCTGGTCAATGTTGTGGCCGGTGCTGGAGTTTTAGCTGGAATGGGTGGAAATGCACCAGGCAGCCTTTGGTCGATGATGTGCCCGGTGTTGCGCAGAGGATGGGACGAGTGGAATCTACACCGAGGCTTGAATGGTCGAGGCTGGAGTCGATGTTGCTCGATAGGCTGGAAGGAGTGGAAATGCATCGGGCAGCTTTTCCTCCATGTTGTGCCCGGTGTTGCTGGAGTGTTGAACGAGTGGAAAATACATCGAGGTAACTTTGGTCGGTGTGGGAGTCTGTGTTGATCTCTAAGCACAGAACTCTAGAGGTAAGTCTAACACCGAGCACAGCCTTTCCGGTGTTCATGCCGGTGTCAAGGAACTCACCATACATAAACCGTCACAACTTCCTGACCACTGTTCCGAATCCCGATTTTCCAGCTCCAATAGACAGATAACTCACTTAGACCCAACTTTGGTGAAGAAACCATCAGTGCTTGGGGAGTGGACGGTTCCCCGGATAGCTCATCTCTGCATTGCATTGAAACGATCAACGTGAAGCTCTCGGACTAGTGTTTACTCCGGAAACGGTATCTTTCAGCAAATAACTCCAAAGTAGATGATCTCAGCTGTTCTGGAAAGATCACTCAGAGACCTTGAACGGTTATGAAGACCCCAGCAACTGAATCACACAGGAAAGGCATCGTAGCACGCAATCTTTGTGACTCATCGGATCGGTCTTGAAACTGTAGCGAGACATGTGTGTCTTCCGGTGAGCTTAACTCTCAGCTCACGAATCCAAACCCAATGATTCCAGATTTTATGGATCCGTGACCTGATCATCTTCAACTTTTATGAAGACTCTGTAAGTTGAATCGATCGTTAAAACTCCCCGGACAGGTAATCTTTCAGACGTATCGGATTGCTTCGGTATGGATGCGAGACAAGTCTGTTTTCCGGTGGCCGTATCTCTCAGCTTGCTGCTCAAAATTCATAGATTCCAACTTTTCTGACATCTAGACTCAATTATCTTGATCTTTTATGAAGGCACCGGAGGTTGAATCGCAGTGCAAGTCCTTCATCTCACGCGATCAAAGTGGGGGTCTCGTCAGCACCAAACCATCTGTCCGAGTTGCTGTACACAGGTGAGGGTTCCTCCATGATCCCAGCTCCAAGTTGCTCCCAAAAGTCTCCAAATGACCTGAGAATACTCCAAAAATGCAGGACACTCTAGGACCTAATGCAATTCTTAAAACAAAGCTAGAACCAAAGACAAACTCTAATAAAACTAGCTAAATGCATGCATGAGACTCAATATTTGGACAAAAAATGCAATCCTAAACATGAAAAAATATGAGTATATCACTATCCTTCTTTTTGTCTTCTTTTCTTTCCTCACTTAAGTGGTTCCCAGCCTTTATGCGTGTTGTGATCCTTGGGCGGGTAGGACGCTGTGTTCTTCCCTCGTAACTTTGCTGTCATTCTCCGGTTCCCTTTTTTACCTCCGGATTACAGATCCGATTTAGTTGATGCTGCGATTTATCTTGCTGGTCGTACCATCAATCCTTGGTATATCTCCTGCGTATTTCTAGGTTTGTCTCCAGAGTCTTTTCATCCTCCACCCGGTTGGGAAATCGATCAATCGTAGATGTTTGCACACTGTGGCCTCCATCTCGTCCACCCAAGGTTGACCTAACAGCGCTATGTACCGATCTGGCTTGCTGACTACTGTTATGGCCATTACCCAGGTGGTATTAAGCGTGGTGACTATGAGTGCTGCCT